TCTCTCTCTCTCTCTCTCTCTCTCTCTCTCTCTCTCTCTCTCTCGTCGCGGCTAGGATGAGCAAAATCAAATGAATCTGGCGCGATTGCGTTGGAATATACACTGCCATACTTGTTTTTGTGAGTGTGTGTGTGTGTGTGTGTGTATGTGTGTGTGTTTGTGTGTGTGTGTGTGTGTGTGTGTGAGAGAGAGAGAGAGAGAGAGAAAGAGCAGGTCTCCAACGTCAGGGCGGGCCTCATGGTTCTTCCATCGATAGGATGAGCAACATCGAATGAATCTGGGGCTATACCGTGGGAATATACACTGCCACACTTGTGTGTGTGTGTGTGTGTGTGTGTGTGTGTGTGTGTGTGTGTGTGAGAGAGAGAGAGAGAGAGAGAGAGAGGCGGTGAGTTAGCCGCGACCCTCCGTGCAGGTCGCCCCCTCTCTCTCTCTCTCTCTCTCTCTCTCTCTCTCTCTCTCTCTCTGCTCTCTCTCTCTCTCTCTCTCTCTCTCTCTCTCTCCCCGCGAAAGTGGGAAGATTCATTCCCGCTTTGCCTTTCGGAAGCCTTCCTACAGCAGGTAGCGGGAATGAACCATTTATTTTTCTTATTTCTTTGTTTTTTTTCCTTTGTTTTCTTCCTCTTTTTTTCGTCTGTCTCACATGGATGTTCGGGATGCCCGCGCCCAGTAGTCCGAGCCTCGGCACGGATCGGCGTACCGGTCGGCCGAGGCTCGGACTTGATAGATGAGCGAGGTACTGGTTGTTTAAAGTTTAAACCATATACAGTACCTACCCGTTAACGCGGTAGTTGAATCGGCCTGTCCCTCGGGTACAAATTCATTTGAACCCGGGGGGTACAAAAATGCGGTAGGTACTCAGTCTGGGGGCTTAAAAGTCAAACAAACCAAAACATTGCTGACCTATTTCAAGTTTGGGGCAAGGATCGATGGAAGGCTGTGTAACGGATTCGTACAAGTGTTGTACCATCATTATACGAGCATAATAATGACTAGCTAAGCGCCCGCGGTGCGGGCAATGCCCGCAAAAAAAAAAAAAAAAAAAAAAAATCACGCCCAAACCAACTGCTAAATTTCAGCATTGTTAACAAATTCAACAAACGGAACACACATAGATAGACAAAAAAAAGAAGAAAGAAAGAGAGAGAGAGAGAGAGAGGGAGAGAGGAGGGAGAGAGATAGAGAGGGAGAGAGGAGGGAGAGAGATAGAGAGACACAGATAGACAGAGACAGAGGAGAAAGAAAATAAGAATGCAAAGAAGGAAGAAAGAAAAACATCATTCAAGTAAAGAAGATCGTGCAAAATGATGAAGGCACAATGAGCACGAAGTACAATCCATCTCCATTTTATTAAAAGAAAAGAACATAATATTTATTTGCTCTCTCTCTCTCTCTCTCTCTCTCTCTATCTATCTATCTATCTATCTATCTATCTATCTATCTATCTATCTATCTATCTATTATTATTTGCTCTCTCTCTCTCTCTCTCTCTCTCTCTCTCTCTCTCTNCTCTCTCTCTCTCTCTCTCTCTCTCTCTCTCTCTCTCTCTCTCTCTCTCTCTCATGTAAGAGCAATCAACTCCCATCAGTGGAACGAAACTCTTGCAACATGTCACGAACAGAACTTTGTTGAAGCACTTTCCGACGATAATCCTCAAAAGTTTGAAATCGACTTTGTCGCTACCGATGGTAGTCAGGATGAATGGCAGCGTCAACAGACCTCCACGTGTTCATATCTGTATGCAACTCCTCAGCCACTTGCGCGATATCTTGCAACCTCTGAGAGCTATCAAGATAGGAGAGATGCGCATGCACATGTTTGGGACCAACGGATGCAAGAGACTCATAGATGGCAATATCAAAAGTAGAAGCATTGACTTCTGGCAAACCTCCTGTACGGACATGCAGTTGTGCAACTGGTGAGACAGGAGCGGGGACAACGCAAGGAGCAGGAGATGGAGTAAACATAGCAGCAGGCGAAGCATAAACAACTGTGGAAGCAGTGACGATGGGCGTTCCCACATTGGACGGCGAAGCATAATTTGCAAGACGTTGACAATTGGCAGGAGACGACGCCGGTAATGACAGAGGACGGACAGTGGCTGAAGGAAGAGCGGAAGAAGCAACACCGACATGAATTCTTTTGATGAGACTTTGTATGCGAGCATATCTGAAGAAGGGCTCCAGAATAGTCTCATCCGTCGGACAATAGGGCAAATCAAATGTCATTCTTACAATCTCCTTATTGGAGAGCGCAATGTACTCATCGTGCAGAAGGGATTGTACCATCCTGCTGGACTCCACATCCGAAATATTCAACGGATTGGAGGGCAGAGAGGATCCTCGTTCCGAGCGCATATCAGTGAGTTTAGTTCTCTGCCAATCAAGAAATTTTTCCCATATCCGTTCATCCATCACGACCGTCGCAGTCTTCACAAACATTTCGAAAAAGATCTCATTCAAGACCTTTCGCAAACCAACCTTTTTTGCATCATCAAACCAATAAAGAGGTAAGCGCGCGGATGAGGAACATGTGCAACTAGCGGTGGGGGATTGCTATCATCGGACACGTCAATTACTGTCGCACAATTTCGTGTTTGGGACGGGGCACGAGCAATTCCTTCACCTTCACCACCTTGGGACTTCAAACACGGATCACGATCATCGCCGAAAAGCATATCCATAGGGATCATGCGAAGTGCTTTCTGAGTCGCAGTTTCAGGACTAACAACTTTGTTAGTCACCCGATGATCACGAAGGGTGGGCTCAATGCCGTCGAGCGAAGCCAAAATATTTTTTTTCACACGTCGACTGGTCCTTCCTTTGAATGTAGATTCAACACGGTCACTGAAACCATCATTGAAGGTCTCCTCTTTATCATCACTTAACACACATTTATCAGCGTTACCCGACCGATCCCCCTGACAACTATCCCCTTTCGCACGAGAGTCATGAGGCCCCTCTTCCACAAACATATTTTTAGCATCATGAAGCGTGTTGCCTTGAGGAGACACATGCTCATCTTCAACTCCAGGACCAGCACCCCCGGCACGTGGTCAAGTTTGAAGGTTGACAGACATTTCATTGTTTCGACTTATTTTCGAGGGTTCCGAACACAGCACTCGACTATTGGATGTAACATTGCCATTACCATCAGTAGCAATGCTGATGCTTGTCAATTTCAGCCTTTTGTTATTCGCACGAGTGTCATACTCGTGGCGCAACCGAGAACCGCTTGTAAAAAAAAAAAAAAAAAAAAAAAAGGGAAAAAGTATTCGGAGCGATTAGAATCGACGGTGGAAAGAGATACAAACGACAAAAGAGAAAAACTCATTCCAAAAGTTCGCGATAAACAATATTTTTTGTGATGAAATTCTTGGGATGACCAACACGCGACAAAGCAATATACAATTGGCCATGCGCAAGAACACGTTTGCGCAACCAAACCCCGGCACGAGACACAGTTTGTCCTTAAGACTTGTTTATGGTCGCAGCGAACGCAAGACGGATGGGGAACTGCCTTCTATTCCATTTAAACCCCCTGGTTTCACCATCAGTTGTCAAATCGATTTTGGTGATCAGTGTCGTTTTACCGGTGCGCATTATTTGGAATGCCAAGGGTCGATGAAAAAGAAAAAGAAGGACTCATCCCAAAAGTTCATAATATACAATATTCTTTGTAAAAAAATTCTTATCAGGCAATGCAACACGGATATTGTTGGGATGGCCAATACACGATAAAGCAACATACAGTTGGCCATGCGAAAAAACCGGTTTGCGTAGCCAAACCTCAGCACGTGATACCGTTTGTCCTTAGGACTTGTTAATCGTTACAGCAAAAGCAAGACGGACTGGAAATTGCCTCCTAAACCATTTGAACCAGTAGTCTCACCATCACTTTTCAGATCAATCTTGGGGATTAGTGTTGTTTTACGTGTGTGCATTATTACCATCGCTTTTCAGATCAATCTTGGGGATTAGTGTTGTTTTACGCGTGTGCATTATTGTCACTTCCAACAAATCATCATTAACGATCTTTTTCAGAATCAGCCTTGTGTCATTGCAAAGTCCTTGCTTCGGTGACAAATTTCACAAAAGCATCAGAGGTGCACCAATTTTTATGCGCAGCTTGTGAGATGGAAGGCCAGATTCATCGAGAGAGTTAAAAAACTCCCACTCAATACCAAGCCCGGTATCATCTGAATTAGGATAATCAACACTGAAAAGTTCACGCACCTCCCCAGGGAAGTCGTCAAGAACACAGTTGTTAACAGAACCGGCATCGTCATTAGTAGGGCATAGAATTGATCGAGGTAAGAAATACTCGTCATCGCCCACATGGTTGGACGCATCATCAAACGTCCATAAAATCAATTCATCAATTGGTTTGCCCGTACAAATCTCACGTGGCAATCTGACCGCAGCAGGTTCATTAGGAACAACATGAGGATGGTCACCATTCCCAATACGCATCTAAAAGTGGCCATACATTCGTGTCATTTCGTCATCCCCTAAGCTTAAGATTCGCATATTTTCAGTCAGTTGATGAATCTCAAAAAGTTTCCACAAAGGAGACATTTTTATGGACGCATCAATCTGTTGTGCTCGCAATCCATGTTTCACAACGGGTAAAACCTGTTTAAAATCCCCAGCGAGAAGTAGAACTTTCTCACCAAACGGCTCGTCATTGTTACAGAGGTCCCGAAGCGTAATGTCAAGAGCTTCCAAGTGAAACTTGTTACTCATCGGAGCCTCGTCCCAAACAATCAAGTCGGCATGACGGATAAGTTTCGCAAGATCACTTTGTTTTGCAATCAAGAAGGGACGCGTGTTATCAGGTTTCAAATGTGCGAGAAATCGGGAGTGAAACGTGCGACCCCTCGTTAAAAGAGTCGCCGCTATGCCATTGGACGCGACGGCCAGTGCAATAGCAGAACAGGGTCTGATGCCTGCCAAAATAGTTTCAATGCAAAAAATCTTTCCTGTTCTAGCCGGTGCATCAACAGAAACACGCAACGGTCTTTTCTCTTGCACAGCCCGAACGACTCTTTCCACCAACACTCGTTAACGTGGATGAAGACGTTGAAAATTAGAATCATATTTGCGTTGCATTTGAATCGGATCATACGATAACTCATCGTTTAGAATCGAGGATACACTTCTGTTCTCGTAATGTCTGGTTATGTTCTCAGCAATTGTTTCTCTATCGGGTGTTGGATAATAAAGGCAGAATTGACGGATGTTTTTTCCAGACTCCTGTAAAATACGGTCAAGATGGAATAACACTAAGGATTGCAAAATGTTCGGGGGAACAATTTCGTTGCCCGCACGATATTGAAAATCATCACACATTTTATCCCAATGTCGTTCAAAGAAAATGACTGGATCGTTCACAGGACCAAACGTGAGAACCATAGCAAATATTTTACGAACTTCTTCAAACATGTAATGCGCCGCAGCTGTGTCGATGCATTGATCGTATGCATCGTCTGTTTGCAAAAGGCCTAATCCAACACACACGGATCTGAAAGAATCGTATTCGACTCCGTCCACCGTACGAATTTCGGCAAAAGAGCGCACCCCACGAGAATGTTCATGGTTTAACAACACGCGCAGATAGAATTGTTCCCCTTCGGTGACCCTCACGTGATGCAACCGAGATATCTTCTCGAACGGACCACTGCGCAAATTACGCTTTCTTCGGTTCCACTTCGTATATTTGTTATCCCATACATGAGTATTAATAATTTTTGCGTAAAGAGGAAACTCCTCTTTAGGAACACCTTCATTCAAAGAGTTGTGTTCCATCCATGTCGTCAATTTCGTTTTCGGGGGTTCATGCGAAATAACCTCATGCTCAGTGTCAGGTTCGAATTGTACTTTTTGCATGTTTTCGAGATGCACGGGTCATCTTTCCACCACGGGTCATTGTTCCGCAATACCAAACTCAAATAGATGCCAGCATGCTTCGCATGCACCTACAACACGCATATCTTGATACAATTTAACTTCATCGATGGGTGCATTATTATCCCGCTCACAAACCATAGCACGATCACACCCTTTGTACACGTACTTATACACGTACTTGCACGCCTTGATGTTAGCACAATATTCAACATTCAAGTGGCAATTAAACCTCATTAGCAAGTACGGGCTATACGGGACCAAACGGTGATTGTCGTAAACGACACCATTTTGAACAATCGTAAAATCACCGTCACTTGGTTTCCTTCTCCTATATGAAGGGTACGTTTGTTCGTCTTTGAATGTCGTTGTGGAAATGAAGTCTTTCGGAAACCCTTTTGTGCATTCTCCATCCTCCGTACACGAAGCATCGCGTTTCTCCGCACCACAAATCCCATGTAACATGAACTTGGCTACCTTTTCTCTCAATTCCCCTTCTGGAGGAATCTTGGTACACACCACATTGTCAACAGCATCCGCATCCCGAATTTTATCACCCGGATGCAGGATAACCAATATATGTGCGTGTGGTAGACCGCTTTTCTGAAACTCCACCACATACAACATTCCACTCACCGTACCAAAGATTCGTTTGTTCTTTATCTCATCAATCAGCTGTGCAAGATAACCTTTGAACACTCGCACGAGAAGATCCGGTCTGTCGTTAGGACATTGACCTGACAACAGGGTTTGTTTGATCTCCGGCCAGTTAGTGTTGCACGTCATAGTGATGAAAAGATCCAGTTTTTCGAATCGTCTCACAATTGCCATGCTGTCATGATATTGTTCACTCATATATCGGGGCCCCCCAGTGAACGTTGACGGTAAAACCACTTTTGTCCCAATATCGTCACCACGTTGATTTTGTTGCACAGCGTCTCGTAAATCCTGATAATACTCTGAGCGTAATTCTTTTTGATGGAATCTCACCCATTTTAAACGGAGGGATTCAACTTTAGCGTACGCCATGCAACAAAACTCGTGGAAGAGACGTGCTGCATAAAGGAGGCAAGATCTTTCATCATCACGCTCATGAAGGTGAAATGCATAGTACTCTGTGGCACTAAGTCCTGGCGGCCATCCAGCCTCCGAGGCACGTCGGACAGACCAACTATTAATTCCCTCCGGGAAAAGTAAAACAAACCTTAAGCAGTCGTGCGCTCGAGAACATTCCGGAACCACAACTGTTTGCCGCTCACCAGGAAGAGGAGAATGCAAACGAATCTCGAGCTCACGAGGAAGGAGTTCATCGGTCATCAGAACACACACCTCATGTAGACCCATATGACGGTTGTAACGTCTTGCATGTTCCTCCTCAGGCGTGGCGTCCGGATTTATGACCAACTTCCTCTCATTCAAGGCTTCCTGTGGAAGGTCAGCAACTGTCATAAAGTCATTCACATAATTGTTACATTGTTGTAGCAATTCGTAAAACCTTCTCAATATACGTTTCGCTTGATCAAGTTCAACATCGGATGTACGTGTAGGTAAATTAAGGAAATCTACCCTTTGATCAATCGCATCATCCAAACGTTGAGGATCGTGCAAGTATAATTGCGCAAAATGAGGACGCTCCCCTTCCCCGACAACCAATGCACCGATACGATGAAAGATTGAACCTTGAGCCCAAAGTTGACCCTGGAATCCTCCAACATTATCGCTCGGTTGCTTCAACCATGAGGATACGAGGGATAAACTATTATTAATTATCCTCGCATTGTTTCGAAGGAATCGGCCGTCGGAACTTTGAGAAGTCTAAAGGGAAAGAATATCATGTTCCGGAGAGCCTTCGCAAGGCTATTCCCATGAAGGACAACGTTTTGTACCTTTTCGACAACACATCTTTGTCCATTTTGTTTTATGATGCCACAATTTAGCACCACAATGCTTACACGGATATCGACCGCCGATCCCGAATGGTTCAACAGTGCTAGCATTCTCAAAAATCGCAACCGTGTTCTCAACCGCCGCATACGTTGTTGCCACAGGTGCCGATGAGAGTGCATTAAGATCAGGAGCCTGAACATCATGCGAATCAATCATTTCTTCCTCCCGACTATTTAGTTCACCGTCTTCACAATTGTTCATTGCATTTTGATTTATCGCGGATGAATTCTGCGATTGTCTCGCCCGCGATAACAGACTCTGCAAGTGTCTCGCCCGAGAAGCTTGACTCGGCGGTTGTCTCCCAAGAGAAGATGCACTCCTCAATTGCGTAGAAGCGCTCGCTCGAATCTCTTGAAGAATATTCACAATGAACAAACTTCGTCTCACACCCCGCATAAAATCTTTATGAGCACGCACATCTTTTTTCCTCCTATGATTCTTAAGCGCATCTCTCAATGCACGCATACGTTTAACATAAAAGTTTGGTCGTCTTCCCTGGCTTTTCCCTCGTTTTGAAATTATACGCAACGTAGAACATGGTTTGTTCACATTCGTTCTACTGACTTGTTCCGATCTTTCATCAGCCTCTACAGTACTTTCAACAACCTTTCCACTTGCATCATAGCCCGATGACACACGGTGAGGCATCAACGACAAAGATTCAAGTTCCAAACGACGCACGACTTTATTCGCATGCAGTCGTCGAATCAACAACATACGGTACCGTCTCTTGCGCCCTGAATGAATCGGTTTCCAGAATAATAATCTTCTCCGTCGATTATGAGATCCAATAAACATTTTACTTAATGTGTTCGGAAAATTCAGTTGGGCCGTGGCAACAGCAGATGAATGTCCATGAACATTTGTGAAAGTGGGAGAAAGGTTGCTCTCTACACATTTTGGTCGGACATCGGCAGTCAATGTCGACGATGAACAATTGTGCACATGAGGCGAGTGCAAGAGAAAATCATCGAGTAAAACCGATTTTTCGACCATCGAAATGGAATCCGCATTTATTGCAACATCCGTACGAATTTCAAGTGGATGTTCACTTTGCAAGGTCATAGAAAGATTTTCTTGACAACTTATGGAATCTGTATGAACATTAATATTTTCTTGACTCGTTCTTTTGAAAAACACAGGGCTTGTGAAATGATTCATCGATGGAATCGCTTGTCGAAAAGATAAAGACCTATCACTATATTGTTCTTCGGGAGAACAATCATAACCATCATCTTGAGTTACCATCGGTTGTTTATCTCTCTTGGGAGCAATCCCCTCACTTGCAGCACCTACCGTCTATTTTAAAGACCTTCGGGTCCGACAACTTTGGGAAACTGGTGGTTCGCGTTTGCAGTGTTCGTGTTATGATGACATTGGTGTGTCACTCGCAGAGCGACTGGGAGTAATATTCGAACCTATACGCAATCTCAATCCATGGTTTGATGAGGAAGAAGGGCAGTCTAACGAAGACAAACCGACTTGACCTGGAAGAACGGAAGGACACCCAATACACTCTGACACCATTGGCGAAGACACCCGAGGATCCTTAACAACCCTTTCACAACGCCGAAGGCGTTTGCGACGCTTCCACGGAACATGCAAGGACCTATCCGCAGGTGAAGAGAAGGTTGGAACGGTGGATAAATTACTGTTGGTTGAATCGTCATGTGGACCTTGGTCCTCTGCCATGTTAATGGACACGTATGTACGTATTTGTACATGAGCACGTTACGACGGGCAGGAGGAATAAGATGCATACAAAAAATCGAAACGAAAAGAATACATCTCAAAACATCCATATATAGATGTAATTATATAAAGAAGAGTAATATAGTGTCAAGTAGAAAAAAAAATAAAAAAAAAATAAACAAAGCAGAGGTAGTGCAACTGTGCAACACAAAGAACGCAGCAAAAATGCGAAGCACAGACGAAAAAAAAAAAAAAGGAGTCAGTTCATTTTAATTTTTTTTAGCGCGTCTATCGAGGTAAATCAATGTCAATTCACATCGGAATTTATTTGTTAATGCAAATATACATGTATAGGTTCACTTTCATGTTTTTGCAAACGTTTAATCGAGACCAGAACTTCTTTGAACTCCTATTGAGGTTAATTAAGACGCCTCCTATTTTGTTTGTATGCCTCGTTCGTTTCTTATGTTCAATTTATGATCCTATACGCCCATTAGTCTTTTCAGGGCCCATGCGATAGAGTCATACGTACCTCGTTTATCCACGTTTGTCCTTTGTCACTCTCTTGCAGGGCTTACTTTCCTGTTCAGATAAATTTGCCACTGGGATCGGAGATTCTTTCGACTCCAATCCACCATAATCGAAGCGGCTCCTACTTGCGGCCAGCCTTAGGTATCCTAGGTCAGTCATCCGTCCACAAAAGATTTGAAAAAGGCAACATGTCTTCCCCGACCTTTCCGAGCCCCGATCGATAGGAAGTAGCCCGTAGTACCCATTCTCCTCGCCTGAGCACGAGGCCCAGATCTCAGAAGTAGGCGTTGGCTCCACCGCATCAACATTGCACCACCCCCATAAATGGGTCTATGCAGCGTACCGCACCTCCCCCCAGCCAGCCTCTAAGGTCGTGGATCCAGGAAGAGTCATTCCTAGCGATCGAGGTCGGGCAAACCGTTGATGGCCTCACCTTTTTTCTCCTCTTTTGCTCGGGTGACTTTGATGAAATAGGAGCAAAGGGGTTAGAGAACAGGACTTTTTGGAACAGGTATAGGTGGGAGGAGATCATTCGGGATAGCATGGGTGCCTTGGGAAAAAGGCTATGTTTATTGCTATTTTTATTCCTTGTTATTGGATTGATTCCTTCTCCAATATTCATTCAAAATATATAGTGTGACCCAACCCTCCCAATAACATTTAATTTGTTTCACATAAGTGCCTTAGTATTTTCAGCGGCCCATGTAGACCAATAATACGTACCTTGATTATTCTCCAGTATCCTTTGTTTTTCTTCAATACCGTTCACTAGAAGACATCCTAAGTTTATTGTTGTTTTTTAATCTTACTATATCGAGACTCTTCCTTTTCAATTATTCATAAAATTCATATTATAATATCACAAAACATTTAAGTTTACATTTGTTTTTTCCCAAACTTCTTACTCATTTCAACCGGTTTCGAACATTGTCTCATGTCTATATTTTAAGGGATACTGACCTGGTTGTTTTTTAAGAATAAGTCAAATATCATAAAAACGAACACACAAAACCCTACAATATTGGCAAACATAATTTAACAAATGTTAGCAAGTAAGGATGAATATCATCTCCATTACCATGAACACATACAACACGAGATCACATACTAATAAACGACTAAGGTGACTTTTATTTGTATATACCAACAATATTTTTTTCCCATTCCATGAATAGTTCTCAA